TGCTGATATACTGGGGCACTGGGTCGTGCTGTGGCAGTGCCGGGTAGTACCGTGGCTGGGGCACCGGGTTGTACTGCGGTAGTGGTGCTGGGTGGTACTGTGGAGGAGCAAGCTCGTGCCGGGGTGGCTCGGGGTCAGCCTGCTGTAGCGGAGGCTCAACCTGCGGTAGTAGAGGAGGGTTGGGTAACTCCCTTCTCTCCTCTCGCCCTTGCTGGGCAGCTATGAATCCTTCCATCATCTCAAATAGCCTGTCTACATCCTCCCGAAGAGAATTATCCCGGGCCGCTCGGTTTAGGGGGGGTCTTCCTCTCCTCATTTCTATGCACCTGCATTTCATAAGAAATGGTTGAGTAACGGTTTATCGGTGAATATTTCTCTAAGTATTATAGTGCAAGGGATGGGTCCGGGGAACGCGGCTCTGATACCAACTGTAATGACCCCGGAAATTTAGAATGAAATATGTGTATTAAAAATGTCAAATGCAGAAGCGTAATAAAAATTTTGATTAACATCCCTTACACAAAAACCAAAAAAGTGCTCAAAATATAAAAGAACAAACTAACTAAAAGAGATACTTGAAATAAGGACTATAAATATAACTACGGAGTCTTTAGGTGTCCCCTTCGTCGTCTTCCTGCGGAACGGGCTCGGGAACAATGTCTTCCTGATCTGAAATTGTTAAATAAGGAATGAGCTACACCAGCCCAGTAAAGACATCACACTATCTCACCGCCACGGAGTTAAAAGTGGGTAGAAAACACAAAAAGACCAATGGAGCATAATTTATAATAAACCCTTTTATTAACATAAAAACCTTTATTGTCCACTTACCTCGGTGAGATCCATAAAACAATATATGAAAGCAATAACATTATCATCATCATGAAATCATATGAACTTTATAACAAAACATATATCACACCTTTACATTTCAATCATCAGAAAACAGATTTCCTCTTTTACCAGCCTACTAGTATCCCTGGGGATCCATAGGAGGTCCCCTCTACACGTGAACCATTAATATTTACAACCTGATTCCAGGGCCGTCCCCATACCCCGTCCAGGCATGGGCACCAAAACCATGAACCTCAGTACCCCGTCCGGTATGAGGGTGAAACGGGCCGTCCCCATACCCCGTCCGGTATGGGCGCCAAAACACATAAGGTCTCCATACCCCGTCCGGTATGATAGACCACGTTCCCGGTAGGGTTCCTACGGACCCGGTCCGTCCACCATCTCCCAAGATATATTGTCAAGCTGTCCACATTATCCACTTGTCAATTCACATAACCTTTTTGCCCTTTTTCTTGGTTTCAATCATTCAAACACACACAACATGTAAACCAGTAATGGACACCAGACAAGACAACACAGTATCGGGTTCATCATAATATAAACTATAATAAAAGAAACCATGATTCATGCATACGAGACTATAACGTAATTACATCAAACATCATGCTGCATTTAATACTGAAAATTAACTCAAACAACAACAGTCCAACACTGTATCAGACTCGGGCTCCATTGGCAACCTTAATCAATTATACATTTATAAAGTCACACAGTACAGTTTAATTATTTATTTAGCTTTAATACCGTGATAGGAAATAGAGTGAGAGGTCCTTACTTGTTTCGGGATCTGAATATGGCTCTACAGTGCCCCTACAGGCTGTCCCTAATTTTCCCTGAATTTTTTCCGGGGAACTGAAACGCACTACTGGTACCTGCACATGTCCCAAAAAATCCCAAATTAGACTTAGGGCCCCTTTCGGCCAATATCACAATTCCGGCACGGCAGCTCCGCCGTGCTCCATCAAGATTGAATCTGGGTCGTTCATCGCGATGCAATCTGGGCCGTCCGTGCCTGATTGAATCTGGGCCATCCGTGCGCGAGAATCTGGGCCGTCCGTGCGCACGTTTGATCTGGGCCGTCTGTGTGCACGGGAACGGATCTGGGTCGTCGGATCGCCCACGTGGCTCGTTCCCTGGTCAACGTTGCCTTACCACGCGGCACGTTCTGGTTGGCCGGGGCTGCTGACCGGGCCGCTGACATGGTGCTGACGTGGCACAACTTTTCTAAATTATGTTTTAACTCCCGGTTTCCGATTTTCTTTTCAAAAACACCCCCAGAATCTAAATTTTCACCCCTTTTTCCCAAAATCAATTTCAATTAAATCCAAATAATATTTTTACCCAATTTTATCATTATTATTATTATTATTTTCATTGAATTAAATTAAATTAAATTAAATAAAAAATTCAAATAAATAAATAAGAATAAAAATAAATAAATAAAATCTTTATTTTTATTTGGGTGTTACAATTAGGCTGTTGGTATCCATAGGGGTTCATAAGGATGTCCCCGCTACGCGTGAACCACTTCCTTTAATATTCTCAATTAATGGGTCGTCCTCATATCTCATCCAGTATGAGCACCAAATTACTAAACCTCAATACCCGTCCAGTATGAGGGTGAAATGGGCCGTCCCTATGCCCCGTCCAGTATGAACACCAAATTACCAAGTCTCGATACCCCGTCTGGTGTGAGATAACATTCACAGTAAAGTTCTCTATTGTACCCGGTCCGTCCACCATCTCCTAGGATATCCAGTAAGGCTACCGTTTCATCCATTCACTTAATCACACAATTTTCTATTTTTCTTTAGTCTCCATTTTCCAATTCAATGTATTCACATAAATCAAATAATACATGCATTCAAAACTATAAAATCACTCAATGAAATATTGTCATGCAATTAACTGTAAAATAATTCAACAGAATCAGCAATAGATAATTTCTGATTCTGGCTTCATTAATAACTCATAATTAATTATAAATATTTTTTAAATTACAAAAAATACCGTATTATCATTTATTTAGACTTCAATTCCATAATAGAGAATAAAGTGAGGGATTCTTACTCAATTTGATTATCAAAAAGCTAAATTGTTGACTGCGCCTACTGGCGGCTCCGGGTTTCTTGAATTTTTCTTCGGAAATTAAAACACGCTATGAGTATCTATAAATGTCCCCAAAAAAATCCAAAATCAGTCTCAAGACCCATTTTTGGCCAATTCTGAAATTCTAGCTTGGCAACTCCGTCGTGCTCCGGCGACGCCACCACTACCCGCGAGATAATTCACCTCGAGTCGGTTGTTTTCGGTCGACTTTGCATCAATCCCTACGAGAAAATACGTTAAAGGGCCTCGGTTGGCCGAAAAAATATAAAAAATCAAAACTCACCAGCGACGGGGCTCTCCAGTGCGGTGGCTCCTCCGGCTCACATTGCGATTGAGTGTTTTGCTCCAATCAGCCTATAGAGAAGGAAACTTTGATCACAATGGTGAAAAAATTATGCAGAACAAGAATCAGAAAGGATCTCATCGAAGACATTTTGTGAAATTTCCCATAACGACATCGCTTGGCTTTACCCACGATTTTCGGTCAATTGGCTGTTTCTTTTGCTCCGATTTGGCTATGGGGGTGTTTAAAATTGAATTCCAAGTAAAAAAGAAAATTTTTACCTCTTTTGGCAGTCGGAAGTAGCGACGACTCTCCTTCCCGGCGATCGGATTTTCTTCTCCGGCAAGGGTGCTAGCGGCTATGGTTAGGGTTTGGTGTGAATAGGGTTATTTATGTCTATCCCCATTTAATCTGAGTTGTCTATTGCTTTTGATCTGAACCGTCCGATCGCAATTAAATATGGAGTAAATCTAAGCCGTCTTTCGCGATCTAATTTGGACTATTCGATCGCATTTAAATAGAAAATAGATCTTGACTGTTGATTGCGTTTAAATTTGATCGTCCGATCATGTTTGGGAAGGGAACGCATCCAGGCCATCCGTGCCCGCAGGAACTGGGCCTTTTAATTGCGGGCACGCGGATCGCTCACATGGCCTTCCACGTAGCACCGTGTCAACGTCTGTTGCCACGCCGCGCGTTCTGGTTCGTTAGGACTGTTGACTGAGCATCTTACATGGCACAAGTTTTTTAAATTGTATTTTGACAACCGTTTTTCGATTTTTCTTTCAAAAATATTCTCATAACCCAAATTTTCTCCCATTTTTTCCAAAATCATTTTCAATTTCATCATCCATCAAATTTCCTTCATTTTTATACTAAATTTAAATTAAAAAATTAAAAAATTATATTTATAAATTAATTTAATTTATATTAAATTAAATTTGGGCATTACAAATTTGGTGTTAGAAATTTACAAATAAAAAGAATTGGGTGGTGGAAATTTGGGTCTTCAAACGTGGAATTATTTAACTCAATTCAAAATTTCTTTCAAACAAATTGCAATCATCACCACCCGATTTGGTGGTAGAGTTAATAGTCATGTATATATATATATATATATATATATATATGTATTTGTAACAATGACCCATATAAAAAAGTACTTGCAATTTTATTTTTTATATTCAATAAATGAATAAAATATAACACTTTACCAACCGAAACATAAAGAGGAAAATATATATTTGGCTTTTCACAACTTCATAAGAAATTTACATTTCGTATTTATTTTTGATGAAGATTCTTAAATTGTTAAAATTGAGATCTCAAACAATTAATTGAAATTGAAATTATAAATTATAAAGATCTTAAAAAATATATTCTCCATCTTATTTATTGTGACTTTATTAAATAGTGAAAGATAAATTTCATTTTTTTTATAAATATCATGTAGAAATTAAACTTTTTGGTGGAAATTAAAACTAAAATTTTTAGGCCTTAATTTTTAAGTAAATTATAAAATCTTCTCACTAAATGAAAAATTAAAGAATCCATTCTGAAACGGACCCGTTGATCCAATAGGCCCAATTCAAAACCCGAATCCCGATCCGGATCCCCGTTGATCTAATAGGCCCAATACAAAATCTGAAACCCGATCAGTATCATCCCGACCCTTTGATCCAATAGGTCCAACCCAAAATCTGAATTCCGATTCGGATCATCCGGTTTCCGCTAATTGGATGGATTCTCTCTGTACCAAAATACCATTTCTTTCTCTCTCTCTCTCGCTCTCTCTCTCTCAGACTCTTGAGTGTTTCAATCGACGGCCAAATACATCGTGTTTGAGACTCTGAGCGTTTACTGCAAGGAGAAACACGCTGTACGAAAACCCTAACCCTAGATTTTCTTCATCACGACAGCCTAAATGTTCCATCCTCGACAGCAACCGCCATCTCTGCCATACTTCTCTTACCCGACGCATTATACCCCTAATCTTAACCCTCACGTACCTTTCTCTCTACCGATTTTCACTCCTGCTGAGCAAGTTCTGCGCCCACCCGGAACAGAAACCTATGCTAACCCGGTTACGCACCCGCTAGCCCATGTTGCGTCTGCCGCATCAACACAATGCTTCCAGGACCTAAATGCGGGTTCTCGGAATTGGCTGGTTGGAGGGGCTGAAGCCATTAGATATGATGCTGTAAGTGCTTCTTTGATGCTGCTTTTCTTCTTCTTTTGTTTGTTCCCTTTCTGAATTATGCTTGTTTAAGTGGTATTGGTTTCTTTTTCTGGAGTATTTTGTTGTGGATTTTTGCAGGCTTGTTAGCCTTGTTTGATTGTAAACTATTGCAATCTTTTTCTTGCATTTTAGATATGGATATTGTTGAAACTGATGAAGGAGGATGTTAGTTATTTTGATGTTTTTTTTTTAGATAAAAAAGAGAAATGCGATTAAAATGGATATTGTTGAAATTGATGAAGAGGATGTTAGTTATTTTGATGTATGCATATGTACTATTTGAATTGTTTCTTTTTTAGTGGACTGATTACAGTTTCTGTCAAAACAAACAGCTCAATTTTTTAGTGTCCATTTGCTCATCTGCTCAATTTTGCTTTATGTATTAATAAATTCAGAAGTTCCAACTACCTACTTGAATATACTTCTTTATTTTCAATTTTGAAGGTTCCTTGATGGGATAGCAGTAACAGTATGGGGCCTTCTGTAGTATGCATATTATCAGCTAAAGCTCTACAAAGGGAATTTAACATTACTTCTACTGGATATTACATTTTCTTTAAAAATATGGTTACTAAAAGACATTTATGCTGGGTTTGGTTAATTTTTCATTTAATTCACAGTTATTTTCCTAGTTCTAATTTTCATATAGCATTGATATGCATAATTAGGACATAATTTATTTCGTATACTATAATTTCTTTTGTATGAGTTACTACCCATATTCCCGTTTGAAATTCCTTAGGTAGTAAGAAATGCAGGAATTGAATCCTTTAAGGTGCAGTTGCTGGTCATTGAAAAACAGTAAGGTTATCTTTAGAATAAATCTAGTATTCGGGTGTAATTTATTTGCAAATACAGGCTTATTTCCATTAGAAGATAAAATTTTCATATGGAATTAGAATAGTGTAATTTGGAATTTATTATTCTAATTTCACATAAAAATTCATATATACTCAGTCTTTTGTCGTCCTAACAGAATTGGCACATTTTCCTAATTAAACGAAGTGCAGATTTGCAAACGAGTTTTACATTATTTCTGAACTTATTTCAAACAAAGCCTAAACAATTTTTTAGGTAGAACTCAAGATTGAGTGGGAATTAGATGGGAAATTAACTATGTGCAACCTTAATGTTCTAAATGCAGATGTTGCAGTTGTTTACTTTACCGGTTTGTTACTGGTACCACTCTTGCCATCAATACTGAGAAAAGTGAAACTTATGATTTGTGATTTGCAGGTAGCATTAATGCATACTGGTTTGAACTCTTTGGGAATCAGCAACTGGGCAAATCAGGCCTTGGAGAATGGTGTCTCAACAAGCACAGTGAAGCAAGGCAAGGTTTGGTGTGAGGTTTGCAATGTTGTATGTAATAGCAAAGATGTCTTTGATAAACACGTGACAGGGAAGAAACATGTGAAGAATTTGCAAGTTAAAAATAAACCTAGCACAACCAGTAGCACAAGCTTGGCTGGCCAGACAAGCAGTGTTGTCGGACAAATGATTATTGGGACTTCTGATGTGGCTTCTCGTCAGGGTTTGGAAGTAGAAAAACAGACTGTCCAGGGTTTGGAAGTAGAAAAACATACTGTTTTAACTGGTGGTGCAACAACTGATTCGGTCAGGGTTTGTACCATATGCAATGTTACTTGCAATAGCCAGGAAGTTTTCAATGAACATATAGCTGGAAAGAAGCATGCTATTCAGGTGAATTAGAACCTCTTCCACTGATACATTTAGATCTCTTACTTCCTTTTCCAACTATGCTTTCCTTTTTCTTGGTATATAGGTATCTGTATTATACATGGATTTATATAGCCAACTCTGAAAATTTATTCTGACCTTTTCCATTGATAAGTTTCTTTTTCTGCTTCCCTTCTGAGTGATGACTTTTTTTCTTCCTACCTAGTACTACTAACAAATAATATCTTTTTATTGGGACTTAGGTTATACATGGATGTATATAGCCAGCAGCTCCGAAACAATCTTAAGTTTCTCTGTTGCATCATTCATATATACTTTTTTGCATTCATCATTTCTTCATTGATTATGGTTATCCTCAAAATTAATAAAATATCTTCCTTCTTTACCATGTAGGCGGGATTAATTCCTGTCGGTGCAGTCAAAGTTAATAATCTCAGCAGTTGGAGACATCGAGTGAAGAAACCCAAGTTTGTTCAATCTTCATGGTGCGACGTCTGCAAGATCAACTGTAATAGTACCGAAGTCTACACGAAACACCTGCTGGGAAAAAAACATCAGAAGAACCTTGAGAAATTGGAAAAATCTAAAAATGAAATATGCTCTTCCACCTCAAACATTGCCGAAGTTAAAACGAACGAAATTATCGGACCAGCAGAAAATCCAGTGGCCAACAAAGGTAAGAGAGCGGCATTGACTCAGGCAAATTTGGAGACAAAGAAACGGAAAGTCATGGAAGGTGGAACATCAGCTAGTGCTGTCAAAGTATGCACTATATGCAATGTGGTATGCAATAGCCAGACGGTGTATAATTCTCATGTTGGTGGGCAAAAGCATGCAGCAATGTTGAAGAAACATGGAGGAATTGTTGACTCTCAATCAGTTGTTGCTACCTAAAGGTACATTAGTTGAGAAATACCATAAAATGAAAATGAAAAGGCTAGGAAATTATTTTATCTGGTTCCTAGGATCGTTTTATATGCCCAATTGTAGTTGACCCATGTCCAAAATCATCTGCTTTCTACTGTTTTTATTGTGGAACTCTAGGTACAAGCCACAAGAATGGCAAAGTATAATTAGGGGAAAGCATTCTGGTTCAGTTAAAAAAAAATTTTGATAGTCAAAGAGATCATCGATTTGAAACACTATAATTGATGGAACCGGTTGAATTATACCAACCGAGGAAGGATGTAAGTGGACTTGGTAAACTTGAACTTAAAAATAAGTTAATAGTTCAAGTCTTTTGATATTTTGTAAATACATTAAATGACAGATATCAATAAACAAATTGATTGCAAAATTTAAAGGAAATGAGCAAATGCCAAAGAATAAATTAACTAAAATCTAAATTTTTTGAGATCTTGTAAATATATTAAATAAAAATATTAATTACACACACGCACATACATATATAATAGTGAAATAAACTGAGTAAATACCAAAAAAATAAGTTAAAAAAAGTTTCCATAAATTGAGCAAGGGTCAAAGAATAAGGTAATAAAATCTAAATTTCTTTAAATTTTGTAAATATATTAAACAACAATATTAATCAAGCATGCATATATATATATATATATTAAATAGTGAAATTTATGAAATATTAGATCGGAATATATATAATATTTAATTTAAAAATAATTATTTGTTGTTTTTTTAATTTTTAACCAACTTAGCTAAAAATTTAAACAAGTCGAATTGTGTCTCTGTAAACTTATTCAGTAAGCATTAATTTTCAATTTCTGAAACTGATTTTTAGAAGTTTATTAATCCTACTTTATTGTAATACATAATTTTACTATTTTATTTTCATTAAGGTTAATATATACCAATAATAACATTCCAGACGTACGGAGCAAGTTCCCCAAAACCTGACTTCATCTTTGGTGCTAAATTCTATGAACCATAATCTCTAGCATGATTGCATGCAGATTTACAAAATCTGACTACTCTAACTTGGCAAAATTTTATTTTTTTAACTTCATAAATAATCATTCCCTATAATTTTTCTTCAATTATTATTAAAATTAATATGATATCTCAATGTATAAAATGGTTTTTTGAAAAATAAAGATCATAAAAGTTTATATTATGGTTAATTATGAATTTATAACTTTTTATCTGTAGTAAAATCTGAATCGAATTGAACTAAAAATATAATAAAATTTTTAATTTGATTTTTTTTTACTACTTTTTCAATTAGTAAATTAAAAAAAAACAATTCATGCATTTTATTTTAAATTGAATTAGATAAAAAAAAGAAAAATCGATTCGATCCAATATGAATTAAATTTAAAACAATTCAATCTTTAATATAAATGCTATCCGTACTTTGTTTTTAGTCCGATTTATTTGAATGCAGTCATGTTGAATTTCGTATCGTTGTTCACCTCCGAATTAAGGAAGAGATGCATTATGAAGTTCTCCAGATTCCAATTTTGCCCATTGAATATTAGAACAAGTATCTCTCAGTTTTTGGTTTCACAAGAAGCAAATGCAATTTAAATAGGCAATCCAGTTTAGGTGCTGAAATTTAATTCAATTCAAACCTTGACATGGGATTTGATTTAACATTTCCCCAAACTGAAGATAATAGAAAGCAATGCCTTCAAAAAATTATAATAATATCCCAAAAAATGTTATTACACAAAATTTATATATATATATATATAAATCTCTTACGAACTTTTTATAGAACAAGATAAATAATTTGCATCATTTTTTTTTATTTTCACAATTTGTAAAAAAAATTTACATTTTTAGTTCATTTAAAAATAAAAAAATCTATAATTATCTTTTTTTAAAAAATATATATATATATTTTTAATTACATATATATACCAATTGAACTTTTGTAAAGGAAGAAGTACAAATTCCTATCTTTTGCTTAAGAAAATGAAATTTGCTTTCTTTCTTTTTTCTTTTTTTTTTTTTCAAATGAAACTAACGTTTTTTATTGCCCATAGTGTTAATTTCGGGTCAGGTATGTTCTTCTAGGCTCCATATTGATATTGACCCGACCCGACTCGAGCCGGACCCATTTCTCCTTTAAAAAAACTGGATTGCGCTGGCAGCTGGCTATCGGGAACAGCAAGAAACATAAAATTTGAAAAATCTTCCGGTTAAAATCATAAAACCCAATCTCTCAAGAAGAAACGCTCTCTGTTCGATTGAAATCAAAGAAAGATTGCAGGTACCAGGTTCCGATTATCTTCCAAAGGTTAATGTCCTTTTCACCATCTCGATATGAGCATTTAGATATACTATGCGTGTATGATTTGGCTTTTTTTGCCCTTTAAGATTTTTAGGAATATATTCTGCACGGAAACTTTTGGCATTTCTTAGTCCTCATTTCCTTTAGAAGATGGAAAAGACTTTATAAGTTTAGGTTGTTTTTATTATATTTGTGTTTGTTACTTTTTTGTTTGTTGTTATTTAATACTCGTCTAATTTTCTATTTTATTAAGATTTTTTTTTTCGGTATCCTGCGAAAATCAGAAACTGATGATTTTGCTTAACTCGGTTTTTTGAGCGGTTGCTTAGTTCTGGTTTTGATTTTAGTTCAGGAGTTCTTATGGTGGGTTTGATCATGTTGTCAATTGGACCAAACCCCTGTTGCCATTTTTAGAACTTTTTTTTTAATGTTCTTCTGTTGTATTAGTAGCATAATTCTTCTGTTTTGGATTGATAGATAGACGAATATAGTCTATGGATGCTTTATGTTTTTGTGTTCTAGAGAAATTTTGGTGCCTGGTAGTACGTATGGGGAAACCATAATTTTCATAGAGACTAGATAAACAAATTTTCATGTGGCATGTAAATAACATCTCTGTTCTCCCATTTCCAAAGTACAGCAGTTGACTGCCACTGCCATCAACTGTTATAGTTGTTAAAACTTGGTTATTGAGTAAAACAGTCGAGTATTAGTACTTTACATTTTGGTAGTTGTTAAAACAATGGTTCAATATGTACTAATGGCTTTGTTTGCTTGTAAAAATGCCAAAATTTTATGTTCTTTAATGATTAGTGCATATATTGTTCTTGATAACTCCTATGCTGCATCACATCATCTCCATGTCATGTACTCTGATTTGAATGGTTTTTTTTAATGAACAATCTTTTGATATGTTAATACAGGTAGGTAATCCTGTTGTATGTCTGTGGCAGTGCTGAAGTTCCATACGTAAAATGTCAACTAGATCCAGTAGTAGCTCCAGGAGTGATGCCGATAACTTTTTTGATGTTGAGGAACTCTTACAAATTGGGACAAGATGCAGAGAGGTATATGCTTATCATCTTTCCTTGCATCATGATAATTTTGGTTGAGAAACGAACCCCAAGCTTATAATCCTTCTTTTGTATTTTCATATGTGTATCAAACAGCTCTTTGTATCTTATAGGTTTTTAAAAAGCTTCCAGTAGCACCCTTATTTGTGTATTTAGTTAAGTAAATGAAAAGCAGAGAAGAAGAGAAAGGTGGATAAGTAACTGACAATGAGAGGAGAAGCTTCAAATGGAAAAATGACCAAAATGCAGTTGACAAAACATATTGGTCTGTCAAATATAACAAAGATTGGGATTTCATGTTACTATTTGATACATTTCTAAAACACATGGGCGCTAATTAATCTTATTAAAGAGAAAATGAACTATCTGATACAAAGATGAAATGCTACGAAGTTTCATGATAATAAACTTTATTATATTGTTCTGTGTTTCACAGATTCCATTTGAGTCTTCTGTTTGTCTAAATTATTTCTTTATTTTTAAAATATGTGGTTATTGAACTGTTTTTGGGATAATCCCTAATTCCCAATGAACTTGGCTAAAGACCTACTTGAGGTTGGGGCCTCCACAATCAAAAGTATACTAAATCAAAGATTAGAAAAACATGTATTGAGAATTGGCTATTAACCCACTTGAGTTAGTGAAACTCTCCTTGTTATATATTGGATTTTCATGCATCAATTTATCAACACTTGCAATATGGTGACTAATTTTGAGGCAGTGAAACTCTCCTTAGTATACATCTATTTCGTTCATCAATTTATCAACACTTACAGTTTTAGAAAAATTGGTGCCAAATACGTAATACCTGACCTCCAGTAACACATGCATGTCATAAAGTCAGAAATTTTATATTATAAAATTATCTAGTTCTTTTTGGAAATACTATAAGATTATCCATCTTGATTCTTATTTATCTTAAAATACCAGCTGCATTCCTTTTTCATTGACTGTCTAGAACGAAATATGTTTTTTATGTGCTTTTCATTGCGTGCTTATTTTCCCTTTCCATTATTCTTGGTGCAGCTACGGAAAGAAAAGGATATGTTGAGAGAGTCACAATCCCAGAGTTTTGAACTAATCAGGGTAATTCTTACTTTGCACTTTTCACAACCCTGGAGTATTCTGGCTTTAAATAAGAAAATATGATCATTTTGAGACAAGTTAAAAGGTCTATGCTGTGTGATATCAATCCCTTGAGTAAACTAACTGATTTGAGATTTGTTTGCTTGGTTTTTTGGTTAGTAGGCATTCATTAATTAAAAAGAAAAACTACAAGGTCACATTTTTTTTTAATGCAGAAATTGGAATTACATGAAAAGTCATTATCAGAAGCTCGTCTAGAAGATAAGAAGCACATCCAAGAGTTGGAAAGAGAGCTCAAGAACTGCTCTCAAGAAATAGGTAATGATTTTATAGCCATTTACTAAGGTTATACATGGTAATGTAACAGTCATTTGCTAAGAATATTATTACTTTATCTTTAGCTATATTGACACAAGATATATGATGCTAGCAACTAATGGCGTTCAATTTGTCAACTTATTGTTTGTCCGTTTTGTCAGCATTTTCCTTTTTCATTATATGTACGCCAGACATATAACAAACTTAAACCATGTTTTTGTAAATTTTTTCATGGGATAAAGTATTAGCAGCCTATTTCACTGATAGGAACTGAGTTTCAGAATTTTATTTAGACCCTACCTGTTAGTTATTTCATCAAAAAAAAAAAAGAACTACTTGTTACTTGCACTAACATTTAAATTTTGAATTAATAAAAGAATGATCAGGTTGCATTTTTTGGGGGGAGCTTGTAAAAGGAATTTGTTCCAATTTTAATCATAAACAAATTGGAAGTCTTTTTCTGTTGTTGTTAATGCTTGGTGCTATAAATTTGTTATTCTTCCATGGCAAGTCCCAAGAAGATCATTACCAAGAACTCGTTGGCATGACGCATGTAAGTTAATAATATTAGAAGGTGTATGAATAATGGTTGGTACTCTGTAAATCACTGCCTACCTTTTAGACCTGAGGTTTAGTTGCTTTTATGATTCATCGCAGATTACCTGCAAGACCAACTAAATGCGAGCAACACAGAGGTAAACTATTTAAGTGAGCATGTTTGGAGGCTTGAGTCGAAGTTAGCAGACATGGAAATTTTACAGGATCAAATTAACCACTTGAGAAATGAGCTAAGGAAATCTACTTCTCGGAATTTCCAGTTGGTGCAAGAACTCAAGAGTAAAGAAGTAGAGCTGCAACACTCAAGATCATGCATAGAGAAACTTGAAGAGTCTATTTCAGTTTTATCACTAGAGTCCCAATGTGAAATAGAGAGTATGAAGCTTGAAATACTGGCTCTAGAGCAGACTTACTTTGAATCTGAGAAAGTGCAAGAAGAAAATGTTCAAGAAAAAGCTCGGATGAGTGAGTTAATTGAAGAGCTTCAGGTTAAATGTCAGAATGCACAAGAAAACATTAAATATTTAGATGAAGAAAACAAAGAGGTGAGACAGAGGCTTGTTATATCTGAAATGAATGCTAAAGCTTTCTGTCAAAAAATCGAATTATGGCTGGAAAACAATGATAAAGCAGAGGTGGAAACAGAGAGCAAGCTGACTATATCAGAAGAAATGAGGCAAGTCGGAACTTAAAAATTGCATTCTTTGTTACTGGATCTTACTGGACTTTTAGGATGTTGATTGCTTATTTTAAGTCAACTTGATTAATTTTAATTCAGAAGCTCGTGATTCCTGTTGATTTCTTGTTTTGCTTCTGTCGAAAAAAGAGAGCATGTGTGTGTTTTAGGTGGGAGAGGGGAATTTGAGCAGTCTTTATTAATTAAAGCTTATATCCCGGACTTAATTTTCAATCAGAGAGAACTGAACAATGAGAAATCCTTGTCAAGGTTGGGCTTAGGGGCTGTCCAACTAGTTTACAACTAGTTTTTATTACATCAATGTTGAAAGAGTGGTGATGCATTTTTAGGTGTTTGTTTATGTGTCTTTAGATTCTATCATATTCAGTTGGCTCTTGAAAAGTTCACCTGTACTGCTGTACCATAGTACGATTTTAATAATTTTCCTGTTTTAATAATTTTTCAGAAGCACCTGCGGTGAAGCTTTGAATGCAGTCCTTTCCAAATTGGCATTAGTACTGGCATCAGGTGGAGATTTTAAGGAAAAGTTGGAGAGTGTCTCTCTTAAGATGAGTGAATATGAACTTCATGTTAAGAAGCTCAAGGTATGAGTTATCACATTTAAGGAACTATAATCTTCTTGGAGTTCAATTTTAAATTTGGCTTCACAATGTTTCAGTAGAGTTTCGAGATTTGATTTCTTCTTCTTAAGTGGCTATATTTATTGTGCAACTGAGTAGGATGAATTGAGAGAGGAGAAATTGAAAGCAAAGGAAGAAGCAGAAGACCTAGCGCAAGAAATGGCTGAACTCAGATACAAAATGACAGGTTTGCTTGAAGAGGAGTGTAAGCGTCGAGCTTGCATAGAACAAGCATCATTACTCAGAATAGCTGAGTTAGAGGCACAGGTGATAATTCTATAACATGCAATTTTTTTTAATCTAGAAAAGGATCTTGTTAAAGTCAGGGAATCTGATTCCTTTTTATTTTTGAAGATTAAGAAGGAACAGAAGAAATTCTTTTCTGCTGTTGGGCAACTTCACGAAACATAGAAATTGAATCAACATGAAGTCTGGAGATTGATAACTGGAAGCTGTTGATAAGAGGTTTGCATTGTTCTCACCTTCTCTACTTCGGACATGTTTTGACTTCTGATTCCAATACAATCAATATGTTTTCTATGTCTTTTTGTGTAATTTCCTAAAGATGGGTTTTTCTCTATTAACTTTCTTAGTCCATTCTTGATTGACAATGCTATCAGTAGGAAATGAATGCAGTTCTCCCTTACAAAAGATATGGCTGTTTTACCCCCTAACTTTATCCAGTCGTTTTTGGGTACATGAGAAGAACTTGCTAACATTCATCTCGTGAACAATGCCAGCATGCATCTAGATTCCTATTTTTCCTAAATTCTGCTATTAAAATTTATTGTTTTGTGCAGTAATGCAGATGGAACGTAGCCTTGATGTGTTGTGTTTCTAACATGTTGAAGGATGTCCCGGGTCCGGCTCTGGAGGTTGCATTGAAAAAGATGCTTTAGATACTGAAACTCCTCTATTTTGTTAACTGCTTGATGCATTGCACCTCATGGGGCAGTCTCATGTACCAAGGTTGGTGCTGCATGACTAAGGACTGAGTGTTGGCTTCTGGTGCAAGAGTCTAATGGAAGGTTAAGCTTGAAAACCATACTTGGTAGAACCTGCCTGAGACATACATGCTTGCAGTATTTCTATTTATAGGAGTTTCATATCTGATTATCAGATGTGAATTTAAGATTTTTCATTTCATTCACATCTCTTCAGAAGAAAGAGCTAGTGCTTCTAGCTTTGTGTAAAGAAAGTGAAATCTGTCTTGTGTGTCAAGTATACTGTATATTATTGGTGATGTTCAAATTTCTGTGAAGTTCTCTTTCAGGATTGCCTGAACTTGTGATCAAAATCGTAACGGATTAAAAAAAGACGGGTAGAGTAATTCCTTGATGGTTAAGAAACTATGAAGTAAAAACAGACCATTTTGATTTTCCATTACAATAACGACCTTCCTGGAAATTTCCTCTACGATTGAATTATTTAATGAAAGAAACTAATTATATTTTTTTTTACTAAAATACTTTTCCATCAAAATAATTATTAAAATAGTAAAATAAAATCTTAAATTTATTTATATTCAGAAAGAACTTGTCAAAACTACTGTTCTTGAGTTGACTTCTAGGTCAATGGTCTTCTTATCCCATGGTAACATTGTTTTCTTAATTCATAAGATAAATAATAATTTCATGGATAAAAACTTATTTTAAATTACTAATATTAAGTTTTTTTTTTAATTATTAAAAAAATTATATTCATGCATAATTTATGTATTAAATACATACAAAACTACACATCCAAGCCTCATGATATTCTTTAAAAAAAAAAAAAAACCCATTGAATCTCCAATAATTAATTTTAGAATATTCTAAAAATATTATTTTTTAAAAAAATATATCTAATCAATTTCAATACATATTCTTAAAGAAAATATTAAATGTATATATTTAAATTTAATCCAACCATACACTATTAAATCTAAATTACCAAAACCATATCACTTTCCGACTTAATTAAATTAAATAATGCAATAGGGTTTGGGTCACACCCACATCAGAAAACCTTTCTTAACTAATTTCTTGAAATGATATAAAAATACCAATAAATTAAGAACAGTTTTATTTTTCTAAAAAAACACATGAAATTATTTTCAGAATTATATTTATCTCATTTAGATTTCACCATTGTGACAGCATTATTAATTAGTATTTAAAATTTATGGAGAGATTAAAAAATAAATAAATAAATATTGTTATGTTTATCTTTTCTTTTAAATCAAAATTTAAATAAAATCAAAAATCTCAACAAGGCTCCGGGATATGATTTATTTATTTATTTATTTTTTTGAAGAAATATGATTTATTCAAATTTAAAGATAAAAAATCATGGGCCCACAAAAATATAATTGTCTTGGGACCCAAAAATTAAAAGGATTTTCTTTTAAATATATATATAAAATTAAAATTCATAAATACCCGTTAAGAGCATACATTTCTTGATTTCTTCTTCTACTACTCAACCCGTTTGACAATTTCTTACCGCTTGCTACTCCTCAAGAAGACTAAATCTTGAGTCTTCGACGCGTTTAATCCTCTTCTCTTTCTCTCTTCTCCTCATAAAATCCGCCTTCGTCTCTCTCTCTCTCTCTGTAAATTCATCAAACTGTTTCAAGTTTGGAGCTTTTTGATAACATCCAAAATCTCAGGTATACTCTTGCCTTTTCTGTTTTGATTCTGTTTCTTCTCTTTGATTCTATGGGCCCTTTCATGGGCATCTCGTATTTTTTCCTTTTTTATTCTTATTTTTCATCACGTACCAGTACTTCCATGGTATCCAAGCAAAAATCTACTTGTTCCCGTCAATTGTGTTGTATCTGCACTTTTGATCTTTATCTGGGCTTCTTTTTAAAGCTTTTTACTCTCCTTTTCGCTAATATTTTTAGGGGTTTTTGCTTTTTTTTTGGTCCTCCTGTTTGTCTCTCGGTTTGGTCTGGACTTGTTCGTCGGTTATGTGTTTGGTTACCCACAAAAACTGAGTGAATATTATGCTTTTTCATGTCCCGGATCTTCTGTCCAGGGAAGAAAGATCCCAGGTCAACTCTGAAAACCAGACATGTTCTGATATAATTTTTAGTTAGTTCAGGATTGAAAATTTTGATCTCTAGTTCTCTCTAAATTTATCACTGATTAGATGGATATCATATGTGGTCATTTCTATTTGCATTTTTGTTCATGATCTATATAAGTTATGATACTGATTTTTCCCCCTTTTGATTGTTTTTTGGCTTTCTCAGTATTTGCTTCTACATTTTTCAGTAATTAAAGAAAAAGAAAGAGAGTTGTCTTTCAACTGTTGTTTTGGTGATTTCACCTTTGGCTTTATAGATAATTGGTACTCATTTTTTCTCTGTTTTCTTCATTTTTTTTTCAATCACCTTCTTACCTTTGCTGTTTTAGGGTTATTGCAAATTTCCCCATGTTCATTTCTCTTATTTGTATATACAATTGATGTTCTCTGAGGGGTTTCTCTTGTAAATGCACTTCCAATGTGGATGGTTTTGTCTCTTTTCTGTAGGGTTACTCCAAACATAATGTCACAGCATATTTTTGTTTGTTTCATGACAGGCAAGTTGATTGATTAAGTTCGTATTCAATAATATTCAATTGTTTGGTCAGTGAATTGTTCAAAGAATGTTTGGCTTAAAGAAGTCTCCATTGAAGGCTGAGAAACATAACTCAGTTGATCCTGCCTATCCTGTTTCTTCTCGTTCCAACCCTTTCGATTCTGATGATGAGGTGGAGAGTAAGCAAAACCTTAAACCAAACAGAAAAACCTCTTCTGAGCCAACACTGACAGCGCAAAATGTTGCTACAAACCCTTTTGATGGTGAAGTGGATAAAGAGAGTTCTTTCTCTACTCGATCACTTACCTCAGCTGAAAGAAACAAGTATAAGAATGGTTTCCGTGACTCAGGAGGATTGGAGAACCAGTCAGTGCAAGAGCTAGAGAACTATGCTGCATACAAGGCTGAAGAGACTACAAAGTCAGTTCACGGCTGCCTGAAAATTGCAGAAGAGATAAGAGAAGATGCTACAAAAACTTTGGTCACATTACATCAGCAGGGTGAGCAAATTACCAGGACCCACCATACTGCTGCTGACATTGATCATGATCTAACCCGGGTATGTCTTTTGCTCTTCAAGTTAAATTATCAAGCAGAAAAATAACCACAACAATAAAGTTTATTAGGCTTGTTCCAGTTAGATTTTGTTATATCTTGGCATGCATTTTTCTTACTTTTTCTTTCGAAATTTATGGGGGTGCAAAACTATTTCATAGCAGGTCAAAGATTTCTTAAGAGCTGGTTTATTCTGCCAGTTTGAAAATCTTATGGTTGAGTTGAATATGTGTAGGTTTAATTAATTTAGGAATTTTAATACATAAGAGTAAGAATTCAAAAGTAGCAAGTGGCTTTCCTCAGTTTATAGTCATATCATGTTCATGATTCTTATGTCTGGTTTCAGCAAAAATAAAAAATAAAAGACTATTCAGATTATTCTTGTTATAATCCTTTCCCCCAGCTGAACTTTCTCCTTCTGCCTCCTGATTATGCTAGTGATGTTTCCGTTTAAGTAAATTAAGAAGTTTGTAATGTGCTTTACTTTCACCTTTAAAAAGAATTGTGAAATATCTCCAACAACATCATCTTAGCGCTGTTATTAGTTGATATTTTCAGAATGACCAGAAGTTGGAATTACCGTTGGCTAAATTTAGCAAGCTGTGTGAGTTGGGAAAAAATATGTCCATATTAGTTTATTCTGGTTGCATGGAAAATACTGTTCCTTTTTGCTTTGCCCAGATAATTTATCTGGTAAATAGACAGCCAGTTTGCTGATTGTTCGGTGCTGATTTCAGGGTGAGAAGCTCCTGGGAAGTCTTGGTGGCATGTTCTCGAAGACTTGGAAGCCAAAGAAGACTCGTCCAATAACCGGTCCTGTTATTACAAGAGGTCATTTTCTTTTTATATTTTTAATTATTGTCTAATATCTAAAACCAGTATATTATCATCAATTTAGTTTCCATTTTTCCACGATGTGTAAAATTATTTGCTTGGTTTTGTAGATGATTCACCAAAAAGAAGGGGTAACCACTTGGAGCAGAGGGAAAAATTGGGATTGAACTCAGCACCAAAGGGACGGTCAAGCACACGAGCCCCAGTGACTGAACCAACAGATACATACCAGAAAATTGAGGTATCTGTTAGTCTTTAGTAACCAAAAAATCTCTACTAAAGCAAAGATCATTATTGGAAATGAGTTATTTTATATCAGTTTTGTTTGGAACATGGGTCTGCTAATCTCTGAACTATAATATATGGTTTAAACTTGAATGCAACTTACTGGTTTTTCCTTTTAATTGTCTTTTATCTTTGAGCTCCAGTTGATATTTTGCTTCGCTTTCTTTAAACAACATTTTCTATTGAGTATCAGATTTTGGGGATGATCCCTTTTGAATAGCACGATCTGTTTTTTTAAATGTGTAAAAAGTCTATCTTTTCAGGGTTGTATTACCTTTTAGGGTCATAAAATGTTATTTCCCCATGTTTTGTTCTCATCATGATGTTGTTTTTCATTGTTTGAACAGGTGGAAAAGGCAAAGCAGGATGATGCACTCTCAGATTTAAGTGATCTACTGGGAGAGCTGAAGGACATGGCTGTAGACATGGGGACTGAGATTGAAAGGTTTGTTTTTTACTCTTTTGATCACATAAAAATACATTTTCTCCTGCTGCTTTCTGCGTTTCACACTTTGGGTAGTCTAGTTTTCGTGAAAACGCATCCACATATACATATATATGTACATAAATCTTATGCATTTGTGGTGGAAAAAGAAAACATCTATGCTTATAATGATCTTGTGGGTATTACAGGCAGAATAAAGGGCTGGATCTTCTTCAAGATGATGTAGATGTACTGAATTTTCGGGTCAGAGATGCAAATCAACGCGGCCGTCGTTTACTTGGGAAGTGAGATGCAAATCAACAGACTGCTTATTATAACTCCCTTTTCCCAAATCCCACATTTAATTGTTGGTTGTCAATCCCATGGCAAACATATGTGGATCAAGATTTAATTCATATTGAAGCTTTACTTTCTGTACCGAGATTTTCTTTTTTATCCCCCTATAACGTGTTTGTGTCTGCGCTTGTTATTTTTCACTAAATATTCCAATATTCCCGTATCTGCTGGTTATTTGACTGCATCAGCTTGTAGAAATGAACATAGGTGAAAAAGTGGCCGAGATGAGGGATTGATAATTGGAATCCACCAAAGCAGCTACATTGGTAATAAATCAAAAAAAATTTTAGAAAATTTATTTATTAGGTCGTACTGGGTTTAATGTAACCGGAATTAGAATAATGAATTAAATTTTTGTTAAACAAGTGTATAAAAAATGTTAAAATTTTGTTACTCCTGCACAAAATTCTTGATTTTACAGAACGGCAGAGAGAACAAAAGTTGTAAGCTTTATAGTTTAGGTTTTATGGCATCTTCTCAAGATTTAATTAATTTGTAGTTTACATTTCGGTGAACTGGAATCAAATTGCACTTTTTATAGATAACAAATGATCCACAACTCTGTTTAAACCAAGAAATTTAGTAAATAAATATTAATTTTTTAATACCTTATGTATTAGTAATAAATTATACAGCTTTCATATGTTCACAAAACATAAAATTAAAATTTATCTTACAAATAAAAATTT